TTCCTGGTTACGTTATAGCTTAAAACAGGGCACAAGTAGAAATGTCCCGATTAAATATTAAATATTCAGTTTCTTCCTTTAGGAGGCAGGGTTAACCCTCCTATGGAGAACAGACATTCTAACAAGTCAGCTACATTTTAGATGATAAATAGGCTCCGAGCAAGCAACATTTTCTCAGAATACATTTCTGGTAAGTCTAGTTTTATCAGTCTTTTGATCATTTGTCGGGCGACGACAGACGGGGAAATTCAAGTCCGACAGTCTTCCTTAAAACATTAAAAAGGAGGTAGTTGACTTATGAAATATATACACTTTCAACTATGACACTGCTCTGTATATTCAACTATAAATCAGACAATCAGCCATATCCTTTGCCATGTAATGAAACTGACTCAGCATAGTTTGGTTCAAGTAGTTTTGCGAACGGCAGTTGTGTCTTTCCAGTTTAGGAAAGGTTCATTTTGACATTATAATAAAGAGTTAGTTCAGTTAAAGGCAGATTGAATCATCTGGCTGTGTCCATTTGGTCCATCCCTACACCTCAGCCTCTCCAAACAAACCAAATAGATAGATAGCGTTATTGTCTGTCCCAAAAAAGGTGACAAATTCTCGTTCGACAAGGCTCCTTTAAGAGCACACATACTTCAAACGCACAATTAAAACCTACATTACAACAGCAGATGTACAATCCTTTTTTTTTTGTTCAGAGTGGTTATTGCAGACGGTATGAAAGATTTCTTGTAAATGTTTTTCCTGGCAAGTGGAACTTTATAACGTCTGCCTGATGGCAGTAATGTGAGTGATGGAGAGGGTGAGACGGTCTCCTGTGATCAGGGTGGCCTTCCTGATCACAGAACGGTTGTGCAGCTCAAATAAGGGGGTTTGTGGTGAGCTGATTATCTTGCTGCAGTGGTTTATTATGCGGGAGAGTTTGGTTTTATGTTTGACTGTGAGAAGGTTGTACCAGGATGAGATGTTGAAGGTGAGAATGGATTCAATGAGTGACGAGTAAATGCAAGTCCTGTTGTTGAGGGAGCCGAAACAAATCATTGGGCTTGCTGTGTGAAGCTAAAACTAGTTCAGCCACAGAGCATTATGGGTAAATACAGCAACTGTTTTATAATGGCTATCAAGGAAAAAGATCAAGCCTATTAGCTCTAGTTGCTAAGTAGCATTAGCATATGCTTCTAAATCTGGAACGATTAACTCAAACAGCCCATCAGTCCCAGTCAGAAACCAACCGACCATGAGGATCCACAATGGGGAACTTCATTATTTACATATGCACCACAGTTGCAGGTGTGTGTATTCGTGGTTATACATATAATGAAAATATTATCATTTGGGTAAACGCAAAAAGAGGGGTTATAGTTTACAGTTTACTGAAGTAGAAAAAGTGATGTGGGAAAGCACCAAATATTTTGCAGTGTCGGTTCCTGTTTTCTTAAAACCTGTGTGAAAAAGACAAAGAAGCAGATAATCTCTACTTCTCTGAAAAAAGTTATCAGAATTCTGACTAAAATGCTGTTAAGCTGAACATATATTATACTATATAATACCAAGAGTCACAGTGCAGGCAGAGCACTCCCACCTTCCACTTCAGTCACATGAGCAGTCAGACAAAAACAACAAGCTGTTCTCAAGCAGACACACTGTACCAATGAGACAGTTTACAGAAACAGTTTACAGCTACATGGCAATACATATTTTAAAAGAAACAAACAAGCCAGCCGGTTCAGACAAATACTACAAGTTTTACGAGAAGTCTGCCTATATTTGACATGCTGCAACTGATTCTGGAAAAACAGAAAACTCATCATAATTGTGAATGAATAATCATCACGACAGTGGCTTTAAATAGGATTCAGATTACATTGTTCAACAACAGCAAGTGACCTCTGGATCGGTTTCAGTGTTGCAGGCTATAACGTTACATCAGTTTAAGCCGACGACCAGAGTTTGGTAGAAAGGATCCTTAAAACTTGTCGAACAATATTGAGGCCTAAGCTGATGACATGGACCTTTGAGGAATGTCTGCAGCAAGCACAGCGAGATAACAAAATTATTTCTTAACCACAAGTCAGACCGAAGATAAGGACAAATACATCACTTGAAGAAACCAATATTGCAAGTAGACTGCTAGAAACCACTGCTTGGGCCCCGATAAGCAAAAAAATAAACAGACATTCATTTCAGTTGAATATTTCAAATGCCTCAAGGCTAAGCAAACACTGTAACTGAATAAATACCCTAGCTGTCTGTTAGTTAATCCATTTCATTGCGGTAATAACGTCTGTTGATTCCACTGGCATAACGTTAGTAGTGTCTGAACATGTCGATAAGCTAGCTAACGTTAGGCTAGATGGGGAACCACCAGACAACAAAAACATGCATCAGATCAAGAGGAACAAAAATCGAAAGCTACTGACATTTGAGAAAAAACTGAAATGAGAGTCGCTGGTTTAGAGAAACCAATCTAAGCTTCCTCGTAAAACTAAACCAGGGGTCAACAAAGCAGCTAACGTTATACAGTAACGTTAACGTACATTGCTGGTCAGAGCAGGTAGTTAGGGCGGATCAGCCAGGTTTAAGGAGAAAACACAAACATATACCGACATAAATCACCGTGCTACGTATAACATGTTACTTATTTAACTGCTCAAGTAGTTATCTTTATAGTGACGTTCCTACACTACAAGAACAAATACTGACGTAAGGCTATTAAACGTTCTAATTGTAGGCTAATGTTGCACCGTATTTAACCAGCGTTAGCAGGCAGGCTAATGTTAGCCAAGCTGTACGACCTGTGCGGGCCAACAGTCGACTTTCAATCTCAAAGGTAAACGGTCAAGATTCACGTAACATGAAGCCATTAAAGATTTAGCAAACGTGTAGTCAATGTATTTAATAAAAGAGTGAAACACATGATTGCTGTATATAACACATTTTCAAGCATATGCCAGCGGCCACCAAAGTCGATTTGATCATGTTTACCAAAGCTAACGCTAAATTGTTTGAAAACGCTTCCGCTTCAGGTTCAAACGCACTTAGTTACACAACCACAGCCTTTGAAAACTAAACTGTCTGGATCGCATCGCCAAAAACATACAAAACACACCAAATTCTTCCTTTGCGTGTTGATTACCTGAAGACACGAAAAACAGAGTAAGGAGAAGCATGACTTCGTTGTTTGCCGGCTGTCTGTTTGTTTCTCGGTGGTGTGCGAAGGAGACTGGAGAAAGATGAGCACTGCAGTGAAGGGTGTGAGGGGGGGGGGCGGGCTTGGCGTTCCCTTTATGATGTCTCATCGTCAGCTGACTACTCAACAACACATGTGACTCTACCTCGGCCACTGTGTAATGTGATCAGATTTTATCTAAGATCAAGAGTCTTTCAAAACGCATTTCAAACGTAATTAAAACACACCATACCTAATTATCACACACGTGCTTTCTTAATTGTTGTGCAGTGAGTGGCTGTATCAGTGGTTGTTTGGTGGAAACCAGTGGGTTAAATTTCCTACAGCTTTATGTTTCTACACTATACACTGGGGTTATTTCACACAGCAGAAGTTCGAGTGGTGGCTTTTTTGAAGTCATTTGAAAGACAAGATTCAATGGGAATTTCCACCCGCAGAATTTAGAAAAGTTTAAATGAGTTCAAGTTGCCCCTAGTCCATAAATGCATGATGTTATTACTGTATGTGTGTGAAATGGAAGAAAATCTCATCATTTATGTATGTACTTCTATTACTACTATTATTGCTATGAATGTTCCTTCAAGACCGGGAGAGGATCTCTGTTCCCCAAAACATAGAAACCTTCTGCTTCTTCTTCTTCTTCTGTTCCTTTCTGGCAGACTAGGCACTGTTAGTGCATTGCTGCCTCCCACTGGTGATAAAGACAGTCTTCATTAAAGCTCCCCCTGACCTATATTTTCCAATATAGGCCCGTGGCTTTTAGGAAGTGAAATAGTTTCAATGCTCTTTCTGTTTGATTAGGACCATCACCCATCAGAGTTTTTACAGATAATAGATCAACTCCCAGAACGTTTAGGCCAATGAATAACAATCTCCTTTCCTCAGCATATCTCGGACAGAACATGATGACATGCTTGACAGACTCCTGTACTCCACAGACTTGGCACTTGCCGTCCCTGTGCTTTCCCACCAGGAACAGCCCACTTGCCAATCCACAATGACCCAGACTTAATCGGGCCAACTTAATCTGATCCATCTGAGGCAAGATAATTGATTTCACAGGTTTGACTAATGGTTTTATGTAATAGAACTTTCTCCCGCTGGTGTCTTTACTCCACTCGTGTTGCCATTGTTGTGTCAGTTTTTCCTTAATGATGCTACGGCACTCCAGTCTGTCAAATGGTACCTCCACCTCCATATTTTCCCTACCTAAACTTGCCCTCGCAGCTTCATCAGGAGCCTCATTCCCCTCAACCCCCACATGTGCTGGAACCCACAAGAAACCCACACTAAACCCCCGCCTCTCTAATCTATAAACCCTTGTTAAGATCTCCCCAACTAAATCTAACCTAGCCCCTCCTCTTTCTCCCCCTATTGCCATCAAGCCAGATAGTGAGTCAGAACAAATGATGGCGTTCTCCACCCAATTTTCTTCTACCCACCACAAAGCCCATATGATTGCTACCAGTTCAGCTGTAAAGAACATAGAAACCTGGACTGTGTAAATGATTATGAATCCCTTTGCTCTGGGCCAGACGCCCAAAGCTACCCTAGGCAGCAGGTCTCTGGACCATCTTATTTTCTGTTGCAGTACTTGCAGTTTTTCTCTTTTATTAAAAATAACAGTTTGTTGTAACTCAGTTATTGCTCAATCCTCACCAGCAATGTACAATTTCCACGGCAGGGTGGATTAAGCATGGTCAAGCAAAGGTGGTAAAGTAAAGGTGAACATAAATGCAATTTGAGCGAAGTAAAATCAACAAGCTTGTGAAAGTCCCTGAATAATATTGGTAACCATTATCTCTTATAATCATGCAAAGTTGTTTTATTTGATCCAATGATAACAACTCACTCATGTTTTCAAGCTCAGTGGCACTGTCATAGTTGTTTATAACTTACAGAGTTTTCTCAGAAGATAGGATCAAGTTTGGATGCATCTAGGTCCAGAATGAAAAAAAGAAGTGAAATTGCCATCACTTCACTAACAGGTGGAGCGCAATCTATGAAATGTTTTAACTCGAAGCCAAGAAGAACAACCTGCAAATAAGATAGAAAAACACAAGTTTATTATGACATAACATCCAAATGTAGGTCAACAACTATGGAAAAGTTCAAAGAGGGAAGCATCACACTGTCCATCTTCTGGATTTGAGCTGTGAAAACCTGTAAAACAAAAAGGGAACAACCATTACACAGGGTTCTAGTTATAGTGCAGTGATCACCATAAACAGAAGGTTCAATAGTACTGACTGTATGAACATGTTTAAACACATCACTGTAAAGTTCACAGACCACATTTTACAGCCTGAATTTTTGAGGAAGTTAATAAAAACCCAATAATGATGTATCAGCTTCTTTTTTTTAATCTCAACACAATCAGTAAAATTTGCTTAAAGAACTGTGACAAAGATATGTACAGAGCATGACATTTACCATTACTGTGCATTCTGGTGGACAAGCA